GCCTCCCGCTTCGCGGCTCCGGATGACCTTGCCGTCCACATGGTGACCCCACGGAGCTCGTCATCCTCCGTCCACCTCCTGCGCTCGACCGAGCCGCTCCTCTGCAAGCGCCGGGTCTCCCCTTCGCCGTGCACCTTGCGGGACTCCTCGGACTGGGCGCCCAACAAGTCTCCCTGACTATGTCGGCAAGGTGGCGGGCGATACACGTCGCTGCGATCGGACTCTGTCCCGATCGAGACTCTCCCTGCTTCTGTCGCGCTCGGCGCTTCTCCCCGCGGCTCTCCCTGCGCAGCGCTCGGGTCCATGTTTCTCGAGGGCTGTTCTGCTGCAGGATCGCTAACCGCTCATCTTTGTTTGCTTGTCGAAAAATCCTCAGATCTAACGACAGGCTTCTCACACTCTAGCTGGCTCTGCTAGGAAGATAGCAAACACACCACTCCACTATACGAGAAAACAAACAAACAAAGCAAGGAGTCTAGAGCAGGCTAGCTACCTATGTACAGGGCAAATCTTGGCTAGGCTCTGACTTCTTGCGCAGGGCGTGGGGCCATGCGAGTTCCTGCACACACACGCCAACATACACCAAGCACACCACACTTCATCCGACATTCTGTTCATAGCAACCGTGCGATCAGCCCACATATGTACAAGTATGATCCACACCGTCAGCGGCCCTGCTGGTGACCTCTCTCCTCAACCCCCATCCACCCCCTCATGATTCACGTGAAACCCCAGTTTCGCTGCCATCACTGTACCCGCGAGTCGTCTGCATTGCTCCCGCACTGACTCGGCTTTGCTCCAGCTGTCCCACCCTGCTCCCCTGCATCCTCGCTATATACTGCATTGGTATAGTCCCTTGCGTAACATATTTCTACACTCCCCGTCGGTCGGAACAGAAACCTCTATACTTTCTTGTTTCGTGCGACAATTGCCATCGCGAGAGATGGTTTCACGGTCTGAAATGGAAAAAAGAATTAATCCTGCCACCCTCCTCGCCACTACAACAAACTTTCGCCAACCAATCCCTGCACAGGACTACTTGTGCTGTCCCTGAGTCCGCGCTCCGATCGAAACCCCTGCAGTTGCGCGGAGGGTGGCAGGAGGCTGTGTTGCACCAACATGGGGGTTTGATGATTCGCGGAAGCCTGATGCCGCACCATGTGATGCGGTGCTGTCCTGTCCGCCCACAAATTAGGTGGTGCGGCAACAGAACACCGCCACGGGCTGTATGCCTCAGGGCATATCGCATGACTGGGTGTTGCGAATTTCGGATGCCGTTCGAGTTTCGCACACATGGTCACATGTCATGGGAAGGGGGTTCAGGGTTGGTGCTTGGGGAATCGCATACCATTCATCCACCTCTTTTCCTCTCCTAAAGGCGTGTTCGAAGTGAACATCTACATTCGTCAACCCTCCGATTTTCGGTTCCAACTGTCACGATCAGGCCTGTCGATTGACGGGCATATGCCCTTAATGCCCTGAAATTCCAGGCTACTTTTGCTCCAGCTCGACTGCATAAAGTGTTAGGATCGCCCTGCACCCGTGCCACTAAGTGCTTCGTTCGACACTTCCCCGGATGCGTTAAGTGCTCCAACCAGGCCTTCCCCATCCACAAAGTTTTGATTTCCGGTTCTAGGACCCCCCCCTCCCCCCCAAGAAATTCTGCCTGACCCCCCCACTCCCCCCCCCCTTTCTCCTTAGGTTGCACGAGAGCGCGCCAAGGGGATTTTTCCCTTAGCATTTTCTAGCCAATCCCGTGTTTGTGATATCTCTAAGTCAGCTTTGGAGTAGCCGAACTTTCCCTTAGCTAAGTTAGTGTAAGTGCAAGCCCGGATATCAAGTTTTCACTTTGGCGCCAAAACACTCAGCTACGGCCAAAACAGGGTCAGATAGGGAGGAGCTGGGGACTCCAAGTATGGGCCCCAGGAACTTCGACAGGCCTGGTCACGATTCACCGACACCCCTCGACGTCGAGCTTGTGCAGCACTTTGTACACGCCTAAACTTCCTGCGAAAGTGAGTCGGGAAGGGTGAGGGCATATCCAACACCCAAACTAGCGAAATCACTCGGGTGTCCGTAGAGATCGCGATTGTTTCGCGTGGGTTCAAGGAACCGTCCGAACACTTCAAAGAGAGGGGTCAGATCAGAATCCGCGCGGTGCCGTGCGGTCGAGCTGTTCTATTCAGACTGTCGGAACTTGAGCAGACACTCCTGCGCAGTAACACGGGGTTACCAAAACACAAGCAGGCCTAGTCCCTGGTTATGACAGTAGTCCAAGCACTGGAATCTGAATGGAGATGTCCAGCCAATCCTAGCAACCTAGTCCAGCATTTACTCGGACTTGACAGCCTCGTTAATATTGAACGAACCTAGGCTGGAATCTGGGTAATGTTGCGGAGTCGATGCATCCCGTGCATGGGTCAAGGGCGATGAGCAGTGAGTGCATCCGAACCACTCGATGTCTCTCCTGGCAAATTCCCCCAACGCGCGCATCGTACCGTACGAGGGCTCACGCAAGCTGCTAGCACGGCACGCGCTCATTGGCGATTGACGACGAGGGGTGAGGCTTACTAGAGGCCTCGCAAAGAGTTCGATGGGTCCCGATGTCTCGATCTGCCACGCCGTTCAATCAAGTTTCGCTCGCGTTCGTTGAACTTCCGTGGTGGTGCTGCATGCGATTCACCAACTGGGAAAAGATGACCCAACCAGGATGAATACACGGCTGGTGAGCGTGCGGCGTGAACAGAAGGGATGGGCGCGCGAGGCGAAAGCGAAAGCATAGGTGGGCGTGGGATGGCGAAAGGGTCGGATGGGCGTGCGCCGTGATGGGTGTCACAGCGCGTCCTCCCTAGTTCACCCCCCCGCTCTGCCCTCCTCTCCCTGTTTTTTTCGCTCTTCTTTCTAAATTCAAGCCAGCATCTAGTATAGTATATGTGTTCCGCTGCCTGTGGATTCATCCTGACAGATCTATGAGGACTTTTCGCGCATATCTCCGCCCAGTTGGGTTTGTGGCGTTGTTCCTTCTCAGAGCCGTTCTCGCTTTCACCCTCGGCTGCGGAGCTTTGTCAATCTTCTTGCTAAGAATCGCCCTCTGCCCATCGCTGCCGACTGCCTCTCTTCCCGTGCGCCCCTTCGCCTGCGGAGCTCGTGTCTCTGTCTGCTGTCATCTTTTGCTGTCTCGCTTATCCCATGCTCATCTTTTGCTGTCTCGCTTATCCCATGCTCATCTTTTGCTGTCTCGCTTATCCCATGCTCATCTTTTGCTGTCTCGCTTATCCCATGCTCATCTTTTGCTGTCTCGCTTATCCCGTGCTAATCCCATGCTGCCATGATGTCATGATGACGTCATGCTTTGAAGTGTGATGCTCCAAGCCGCACTCCCCCACGCCTAACTGCCCCACTGCACGTGCACGAGGCAGCCAGCTCACAGCAGCAGGCTGCAGAGGGCAGCAGAGGGCTGCAGAGGGTAGCAGAGGGCAGCAGAGGGCTGCAGAGGGCAGCAGACGGCAGCAGGGGGCAGCAGATGTAGTACAAACCTTCAACACCCCAAAATAACACCCAGTGTAGCACATGCCAAGGGCAGCACGCCCATTCCGTTACAAGCCAGTTGTCTGCCGCACACACTCGCAAAGTGCACTTGTTGTTCCACCCGCTGTCCTCGCTCTGCCTGCCTATGCAATGCTCCCTCCCGTGTTCCCTCTGGCAGCTCGTCCCTACTGGAAGGCCACAGGCTCGTGGCTGCTCACGGCAGGCCTCATCACATCCTCTTCCTGTGATGCAACCTCCTTTTTTAGCGGGCTTTACAACGGGCATCATGCACAGGTCGCTTCACAGGGGCTGCAAGGAGCTACCAGCTTGCATGAGGCGCTTCAGTGGCTTGCCCTGTCGGGGTGATACCCCTGGGTGAGTAAACGAGGCATGCGTGAGTCAAAGTGCGTGTGGCTGGTGTGGGGTTCAGCAGCTGTTGCAGGCGTGTCAACAGCCATGCACGGGGCTAAAAGTGGCGGTTTCTTTGTGAATGATGAAGCCCGCATCCTGGGCAATGCCGATGTTTGCATCCCGCAGGGTGTCATGTTATGCGTCGTTGTCCTGCCTCCACCCGTTTCGCAACAAAGCAACTGGTTGGGCAGCTGAGGGTCCGTGATTTGGATGTGTTTGCGGCGGCGACACGCACGAGGCGCCGAGAAAGGTAGGCCCAGCCGGAACTGCAGCGCCATTGCAAACTGGTGGGGGCTTAGGCGGACTGAAGGGGTGAATGGGACCGCCAGGAGTCAGCCTCCAGCTCTGTATCCTGTTAATGAGAGCAGCTGTTGTGTGTGTCCAGAGTTTGGGTTGCCCAGCCTTGATGCCGCCACGCCACCTCTTCAGCGGATCGGTGTGCGTGTACTTTGAGTGCCAGCGAATGTTGGAGAGGCGCGCCGGTGGGGTTGTGTCTCGCCTTGGCCAGCAAATTGTGCCACAGTCGGTAGTCTGGTCTCGCACTCGGACAGCCACAGAGTCAGTCATGTGGAGGCCTGGTACAGTGCTATCATGTGTGAGGAGAGGGATGTTAGGGGGGATTCTGTGCCCGTGCTGATGTTGGTGATCAGGTCACGGGCTTGACTTGACTGTAGTTGGTGAGGAAACTGTGTTGCTTGAGCCTCTACTGGAGCAGGTGGGTTTCAGGAATGCGAGCCTCTACTTTCTCGAGTCCATAGCTGCTCGTTCACGCTCTACGAGGGCTGCGACCTCCGCCATCGTGATCCTCGCTTCGCCTCCACCGTCCGTACCTTCTCTCTCTGTGTCGTTCGCGCTCAAGACGCTATCAGTAATGGCTAAGTGCTTTGTGCTCTCTTCCATTTCAGTAACTGAGAGCACGAAGCACTTGGCCATTACTGATAGCGTCTTGAGCGCGAGGGACACAGAGAGAGTGAGGGGCAGCTCAGTGCTGGCAAAACGGAAGGGGGGAGGCGGGCGTTGGGGAAGGAGAAGGTGCGGACGGTGGAGGTGAAGCGAGGATCATGATGGCGGAGGTCGTAGTCCTCGTAGAGCGTGAACTCGTGCTGCGGCGTTATGGACTCGAGAAAGTAGAGGCTCGCATTCCTGGAATCTACCTGCTTCAGTGTCTGCTTGCAGTTCCACTTCAGCCATGCCGCGTGGCACACTGCCAGTTGAGATTCCGCATGCCCCGCCCCAGGTTCAACTCCTGCAGCTGGGCGCATTCGCTGAGAAAACGTAGCCTCCTGTGCGTGTACTCCTTTTCGATGAAGACGACGCCATTTGCTTTCTCCCACCACTCAACCATCCAGCAGTCCATCCTTTCAGCCGCTCCCTTTTAAAATCTTCATTGCCCCCCCTTCTACCCCCTCTTTCTCCCTCCCCTCCCCTTCTCCCCTCTTTCGTTTTCACTCCCTTCAACTCGCAGCAAGCTGACGTGAACTGGCATGTGGTGCCACGCTACTTAAGCCACGCCGCTCCTCGTCCCCTCCACTCTCCCCACTCTCCCTGTCACCTTATGAAGCCCACAAACCACCTCACCTGCACTCACATACACATCGTCACCCGCTGCCGGAACAAGGTGGGCAGGGGAGGAGGAGCGTTCTTGGGGATTAGTTGGAGGGAGCATGGGGCGGGGATGGGGATCAGTTGGGGGGAGCATAGCGAGTTGGGTAGAGAATGGGGAGGTGGGGGGGTGGAGGTTTGATAGGGAGGGCACCGGGAGCATTTGGGAGCTCCCGTCCTTCACTCCCTCCTCATCCCTACTCTTCCCTTCCCTTCCCACATCACCCATCCCCTTCCCTCCTCTTCCCTACCCTTCCCTCCTCATCCCTCCCCTTCGCTCCTCTTCTCTCCCCTTCCCTGCCCTTCCCTCCCTATCCCTCCCCTTTTCTCCTCTTCCATCCCCTTCCCTCCCCTTCCTTCCTCTTCCTTCCTCTTCCCTCCTCTTTCCTTCCCTTCCCTCCCCTTCCCTCCTCGTCCCTCCCCTTCAATATTCTCCTATTCTACTCCTCATCCCGCTGCCATTCTTCCCTTTTGGGCATCCCGTCTTTCCTCCCTTCTTGGAAATTACGCCCCTCTTTCATGTCCTCCTCTCTCCCACCAGCCATCTCACACCCACGAGCCATCTCACACCCACGAGCCATCTCACACCCACGAGCCATCTCACGCCCACCAGCCATCTCACGCCCACCAGCCATCTCACGCCCACCAGCCATCTCACCTGCACTCACATCCACAAGCTCAACCTTGCTGCTCTTCAGAACCCCTCCTCTTCTCTCAGTACGACCCCATTCCCTCTCTCCTCCTCTCATCCCTCACTGACTGGGCAAGGCGGACAGGTCTGGGAAGGCCATCGTCTCGCTGGCCAGGCCACGGAAGGCCCCATCTTATGCGGGGCACACGCCCACGCCCCCATCTCATGCTGGGCACAGGAGCTCTCTCAACCCTCAACTGCCCCTAACCCCTCCCTCGTTCCCCTCGTACCCTTGTACTCCTGTCTCCCAATCACTCCGGCTGTGCGCCTACCAGATGCGGACTGCAGGTAGAAGACCGTGCGGGCAATTCTCAGGGGCGAGCACCTGCAGCAGGGCTTTAACTAGAAGCAGCCCGCTGTCGGGTCGAGGAGGGGCACTCGGGGAGCCCCCTCAAGGTGATTGCTGCCTCAAGGTGGCTGTGACCTCAACGCGCGTGTGACTTCAAGGGGGATGGTGGTAATGTGAATACAAGCACATTCTCAGAGGGTTTGTGGTAGTGTGTTTGCACACAGTCTTCTTTCTAGAGGCTGTGACACCAAGGTCACCTATCTCTCCACGTTGCTGTCCCGTCCCCTCACCTGCCCTTCCATGCCCTCGTCATGCGTGTTCGTGTGCGAAGAGGCAGCTTGTGATGAAATGAAGCACATGGGGGGTCACCACTGCACATGCACTACTTCACATGCACCACTTCACATGCACCACTGCACATGCACCACTTCACATGCACCACTGCACATGCACCACTATACATGCACCACTGCACATGCACCACTGCACATGCACCACTGCACATGCACCACTGAACAGCACCACTGCCCCATTCATCACTTCACATGCACCACTGCATATGCACCACTACACATGCACCACTGCACATGCACCACTGAACATGCAACACTGCACATGCACCACTTCACATGCACCACTGCACAAGCACCACTGCACATGCACCACTACACATGCACCACTGAACATGCACCACTGCACATGCACCACTATACATTCACAACTTCACATGCACCACTGTACATGCACCACTGCACATGCACCACTTCACATGCACCATTTCACATGCACCACTGCACATGCACCACTGCACATGCACCACTGCACATGCACCACTGCACATGCATCACTGCACATGCACCACTGCATGTGGGTGACCTAGCCTGTGATTGTTCTAGCCTCATATTGATGTAGCCCATTTGTGACCCGGCCAACAATAATATTGTCTGTGTGAGACTTGACATACATGTGATGTGACTGATCGCCTGTTGCTGAGCCATCCTGTAACTACCTCTCGCCCAGGTTCTTCGTGTGAATTGAGGCGGCCATAGCCTCTGACTTAGTATCGTCTCTAACTGGCCTAGTTTTGAGGGAGCGAGCCTTGACCTAGCATTCAATTTGAATATCCAATGAGTAAGCTCGCCTCAGCTTACTTTGTGATTGACCTAGCCCACACTGTCCTAGCATGTGAGTGATCAAGGTTGTAACCGACCTAGCCTGTATTGGACCTAGCTTGTGACCCGCCTAGCCAGGGCCCAAAATCAGGGTAAAATACCCCTTTTGTCCTTTCTGTTGGCCGCTTTTTTCAGTTACCTTGATCAAGGCAGGCTAACCGTATAATTACCCTTTCTCCAAATTAGTGGCTTTTTTTTAACCCTTTAACGAGTTTTTTTCCCTGACTGTACAGGGTACGAACACAGTTATGCTGATTCCGGACAATCCGTAGCGAGACGAAACACGAGACGGGCACCCGTAAAATACTGCCAATAGCGAGAAGTGAACCCACGACCTTACAATTCTAAGCCATTACTCTACCCACTAGGCCACTACAGGTCAAAACAGGAGCAGGTCACAGAAACAACAGTGTACCAACAAAAATACCCTTCCACAAACAGACTAGTTATGTTTTTACCCTGAATTTGTCAGGCTAACGAAGTTTTTACCCTAGCAGTCAGGGTAGGCCCTGGCTGGCACCCTGATTTGACAGGGTGGCCAAAACCCAATTTTGGGCCCTGCGCCTAGCTTATGAGGTCCTATTTTTGTAAGTGGCCTACTTTTGACTGTCCTAGCCTCTGACCACAAAGTGAAATGATTCTTGCTGTCACACTGTTTAAACACTAGCTAGTTCACAGCTTCCAGGTCACCCCAGAATGATTCCAACCGCTCTCCTTCCTACCAACGAGTCGAATCAGGCTCGCAGCTACCTGCTCTCTGCCCGCTTTGTGTGGCCTAGCCCCTGACCATGAAGCAGATACCGTAGTGGCTCGTACCGAGCCAAAGTTAGTGCCTGCCTGACTTGTGGCTCAAATCCAATGGCTGAATTAATGTGACTATCAATGGCAAGCTTCCAGGCTCTCCACAAGCCTACGACTCGCAAGCCACCCAATCATAATCCACTGGCTCAAGAAATTTGGCGTCTATCACCTCCCCTACCGACCTCAACCAAGGGAGGAGTTCTGAAAAGGAGATCTGACTTGGATAATTCGCAATAGAAAATCAGCGCGTCCCGAAGCACACTGGTTTCGGGTCAGCCCCATTGCCTCAAGCCGCCAACTCTCTGAGATTCAAGAATCTTCCGTCTCGGTTCAAAGAGCACCTCAAACGGCCGAGTTGTTGCCCAGCCCTTTCCTCACGCGTTCTATGGCGTTCACTATCTTTTGCCCTATGCTTTCAATTCCCCTTGTGCGCTCGCTCCGGCTTCCCTCGCCTACCTTACTGTGGTAAGGAGAAGAGATGGCAGGGCCATATTGCAGATTTCATGTCAGGCTGAGGTGATCTCTTTGTTTTGTCATCGTTGCTGCTCCGCACCCTCATGCATCATCTTATCATCCTCTTTTTCTCCTCCCGGATTCTGCTTTGCTCAAGCGTTGTTGGTTCTACCTCCACTTTTTGCTGCCCTCCCCACTCACACTTTAATGACGTCAAGTTCCTGTTGGAGGTCGGTGGGGGGCCAAGTGGTCCCCACTACACACCCCTGCCACTACAAGGCGGCAACGCCTTGGTGAAGATATCTGCCGTGTTGGCCTCAGAGACCACACGTCGAACGAGTGCCTGTCCACGCAGCTGCAACTCACGCAGAAGGAAGTAACGAAGCTGGATGTGCTTCGCCTTCCCAACCAGTCGGGGCTCCTCACACAACAGGACAGCAGACCTGTTGTCGGCGAACAAGATTGGGGGAGAGCGAGGCCGCTCACCAAGGTCGGTGAGAAGGAAAGACAGCCAGCGAAGCTCCTGAGCGGCCATGGCCGCAGCGTACACCTCTGCCTCACAGCTGGAACCGGCGACGGACGACGCCCGAGTCGACCGCCACGAAACAGCACCTGCCCCGAGGCTAAAGGAGTACCCCTGTGTAGACCGACGCGTCTCCGCATCGTCGGCCCACGACGAGTCCGAGTAACCTGTGAGTGTAACTGGCTGCTTCCCTCGAAGGACAAGTCCCATGCCTGATGTACTCGCCACATACTTTGCCACCCTCTTAGCAGCGTACCAGTGGGAAGGTCGGTGTCTCCCAGGCGCAACAAAGCGCGCAAGGACGCTAAGAGGGTAAGCTAGGTCTGGGCGAGTACAGGTCATCAGGTACATGAGACAACCCACCAGCTCAGGATATGGACCACTGGACTCAAATGACTCGTCCGAAGGTGGAGCCGTGAGCCCATGATCCACACCAAGAGGGGTGAGCTGTACCTTGGAGAACGGGAAGCGAAACCGCGTGAGGATCTGCTCGACCATATGCGACTTAGTCAGCGTAATGGTGCGAGCTGCCCTGTCCCTGGTGATCTGCAGGCCAAGGTAGTGCTGCAGCTCACCAAGGTCAGTGCAAGTGTGTCTCCTCTGCAGTTCCTCCTTCACGGAGGCCAGCGCGCGTCGGTCGGGAGTGGCGAACACCAGGTCGTCGACGTAGACCAGGACAAAGAACAGGGTCGAGCCACGGCGAACGAACAGTGACGGGTCAGCAGACGACGGAAAGAAGTCAAGAGCTGCAAGGGTCGAGCGAAGTGTGTCGTGCCACTCACGTGGGGCCTGACGCAGGCCGTAGACTGGTCGACGCAGCTGCCACTGGGTCCCAGGTGGGAAAGAGCCAGTGAAGCCAGGCGGACGACGCAGCCAGATCTGCTCGTGCAGGCTCCCCTGAAGGAACGCGGTGGAAAAGTCCAAGGAGTGCAACTCGTAGTCGCGCTGGGCTGCAATATGCAGCAACACCCGAAGAGTACTCATCTTCGGGGTGGGAGCGAAGGTCTGGAAGAAGTCCACCCCCTCTCGCTGACTGAAGCCTCTCGCAACATAGCGCGCCTTGAACACATGTGGTGATCCAGGCGGCCGCTTCACCTTGTAGAGCCATCGGCCACTGACGACGTTCGTCCCAGGTGGTGGGACTGCGTCGACGTAAGTGCCTGTGGACCTATAAGATGCCATCTCTGCCTCCTCAGCTGCTATCCAGTACGAAGCCCAGGGTCCCGAGACCGCCTCGGCGTGAGTGCGAGGGATCGGGATGTCAAGGGCGTCTGGATCCCCCTCAGGGGCAAGCAGCATGGCGCAAAGATGAGGAACAGCGGCCGCAAGGAAACCAAGCTCGAATTGCCTGTCCTCTAGGACCTCCAGGGGAAAGACAGGAGCACCCCCAGAGGACGGGGAACGAGCAGGGCCACTCACCAAGTGAGCGGCGTAGTTAAGGCGGTGGGAAGAGGCAAAGCCAGAGACAGTGGTAACAAGTGCTGAGACAGACGACAGAGGTGCAGTCGGGTGAGTGACCAACGCGGACAAAACACGGGAGACGACAGGACGAGAGGCACGGAGGTAGTCGGACAACGGGTCATGAAGCACAGTGAGGGACCACTCAGGGGGCTGTGGAAGGACAGGAGGAGGTGGAACACGAGAGCGGAGAACAAGGTGAAACGGACCGTCTGCATGGTAACGGGACCGACGGGGCTGTGGAGACACAGCACGACTGAGGGGAGGACGACGAGTCCACTGGGACGAGGAAAGGGACTCAACAGGGGGAACAGGAGGGGACGGTAGGGGACCACGAACAAAGCGTGCAGGTGCTGGGTCGGGGAGGTCGCGTAGTCGCAGTCGCTGCTGCTCCGCCTCCTCTGGCGTCTGCTGCGACGGTACCGGCCCCTGCTGCTGCTCCTGTGGCTCCGCCTCTGCCCTCTCCTGCTGCGGCTGCAGCTGCACCCGCTGCTGCGACCAGGACTCCTGCGCTACCCTCTCGTGCTGCGGCCGTGACTCCTCCTCTACTCTCTCCTGCTGGGTCTGTAACTGCACCTGCTGCTGCGGGTGGGACT